CCGTTACCCCTTCAGGGAGGGCAGGACGAAGCCTCGTGCACTTCAAAACCAAGTGCTCCAGTGTCTCGCTATCATTATGGCAGGCGGCACATAATGTGTCGGTCTCCTGAAATTTAGCCCTATATGTCCTTGTCCTCAAAACTCCCGTTCTTGCCTCGAACAGCAAAGCACTTCCCAGTGAATTGTCGAATAGCTTTTCCTTTCTTATCTCCTGCTTTCGTGACCTGTACACTGCTAAAGCTGATTTCTCCTGCATTCTCCCCTCCCACATTTTCCTCTCCACCTCTTTCACCTTCTTTTTCACTGACATAGTCTGTTCAGCCCCATCACCAGTGTGTAGAGATTTAAATGTAAGCTTTCGGGTTCAATTTGTCCATTTTGTGTTTAAACTTTTCATGTATAAATACTTGAATACCTTACGTGCCCACCGCGTATCCTCCATTTCAGTCAACCTTTGTTCAAATTTCAACGTAAACAAACTGTAACAATGGCGATGGGGCTAGCCAACTTGTACCGAGCATTGAGCTCTTCTTGAGCTGCATACAGTTCGCATAGAACGAACGCGAACAAACGAACGCAGCACGGCAGGAGAGTTGACCCTCGTCCTCTTCTCCTTGCCGCGCGCGCACAATGAGCAGACTACGCGACCCGAGAGGACGTTTTCGTTTTTGTAGTTTTGTTTTCTCCCCTGCTACGATGCTGTGAAAATGACCTTGAGCGTCTCGCGGACCGCCACGCCTGGCATCTCTTTTAATCTTCGTTTTTTTTTTTCTTTTTCTTCTTCTTTCCTTCTTGCTTTTTTTTTTTTTTTTTGAAAGCAGACTTTATGTTCGTTGTAACAGTATGATGCTTTAAAAAACGGTCGTTTTATTTGGACCAATTTTAATGGGCAGGGCCTTGAACTCGTATATTTTCTGAAAGTTGATCGTTATAACCGATAGGTCGTTATATGTGGGATCATTATAAGTGGGTTTGACTGTATTTCCGCTCTTTCTAATTTTGTTTTATAGAAATAAATGATGTTTAGAAAACTCAATGCAATTATCCAACCTAAGTGGCAGAGCTCAGTGCTACAGAATACATGTTGCTGGGCAGAAATAGTAAAAAGCGCCGATGTCGCATTCAAGTTAAAAGTGCCACGTAATGCACGCACACCGCTTCAAGGGCGTCCGGACATTTCATCAAACGCCGTTTCATCGAATGCCGTTTCATCGAAGCCGTTTCATCGAACACCGTTTCATCGAACGACGTTTCCTTGAACGCCGTTTCATAGAAGCCATTTCATCGAACGCCTTTTCATCGAACAACGTTACAGTCTGTAATATTTTGGAATTTAATTTTTATACACAACTTCATCTAATTCTCTCTTTTTTTTTTCTTTTGTTTCTGTTTTTATATCACTGGGTGCAGTGACAAGATAAGTTCCATCGTGAACATATCCTGCTTCAAGAAGAAAGCCTCCATGAAACAATGACCCCTCTCCATGTCACATGAAACAATTAAAACAGAGACAAAAACAGAATGCACGGGCACTTAAAAGTGTATTGTCTGTCCTTCACTTGCAGCGTCGTGGTTTCAGTCATGTATGTACATGAGTAAAGATTTTCAGTAAGTCGCCTACCCAATTGTTTTTATTTCTTTTTATGCCAATTGTTTTTTTATTTTTAGTAATTTGACACCACCTTCAAAACAATTTCACAAGCGACTACCTTAGTCTTAACAAATGCAAGGTGAAACATCTATAAAGCACTGTTATGCCCCAAAACTCGGTACAGAGCCATAACAGAAAAATTCGATGAAACGGCGTTCGATAAAACGGCTTTCGCTGAAATGGCGTTCGACGAAATGTCCGCTATCCTCAGAAAAATTGAGGTTCAGGCTTGGTCGGAAATTGCTACGGTTACACTCGTACGCTTTTTCAGTTCTGTCTCGCATATATAAGCCTCTTGCTCAAATAAACAGGGGCATCTAACTTTTCGCTCATCTTGGCCTTTAGCGCGACTGTTAACAAGTTCTAAAACGGACAAAGCAAAAGTGATTTAATTAGCTCAGGATTATAGGCTGAGCGAAATATTTACAAAGTTCGAGGTTCCCTGAGTCGTCTTTTGTATTCAATTCCCCCTCCCCTCACCACCACTTCCTTCCTCTAAATAAACAACTTAGATTATTTTATGAACCACCAGTCATAGAGCGTACTCGCAAAACGTCTATTTCGCGTAAGAAAGCGTAAAAAAGGCCTTGTTTAAATGTTCGAGCAATGAACTGGTCTTCTTACTGTGCGTGACACAGCTAACACAAACACAATAGTATTGATATTTTTACGCAAGGGCCATGCAGAATTTAGTGTATATAGAACAAATTGATGCCTCCTAAGTTGGTGCCCAACGGAAGCACTCTTTACCGAATTGTCTGTTTAAAAATAACAACTTTTCAACAAAAAAATAAGACAAAATAACACCACTTTTTTGGGGGCCACTGAATTTGCTGATTCACTCCGTTAGCGTTGATTGTGCAGCGGTATGCGTACATTACGCCACACTGTTAGCGCAAACACGACATCGGCGCTTTTTGCTATTTTCCCCAGCAACGTATTGCCTCGCACTAAAATCTACCGCTTAGGTTGGATACTCGCAGTAACAGTTTCCTAAACATCATTCACTTCTAACAAGGAAAAAAAAAGTGGGAAACACCGGCGATAAATTGTTCGTGCTAACTGCGTGGCGCAGGGTACCTACAAGTTTTTTTACAATAATAAATACAATTCTGTGTCACGTAAAAAAAAAATTGTCTGCTTTTCCTTTAGTTTCTTTGAGACACCACAAATACTTCGAAGTGGCGGCCCGGGCTATGGTAGCAATACAAGCAACGTTGAACCATAACACGGCATGCTAGACTCGCCAAAAACTGCTTTAATATTGTCTTTTCGACTCCATAGCCGCACTCGATAAAGAATGTTCACAGCGAGTCTAGCTTACATTTCGTTGTGGGGTACGGACCTTACGGTTATCGAAGTGGCTAAAAGCGACCCACTAAAACTTTCTAGAATTGACATCCACCCTTGATGCCCTCTCACCTCAGGTGGTTATTGGGAATGTGTAAATATGAATTTCATACATTTTGCTGGCCATCATGTTCTGCGAGTTAGACACACAACAGGGCATTTTAGTAAATCGTTTTCAAAGGCCCGCTGCCACTTCAGGCGCGCGCTTCAGAGAATGCATCGAAGTGGCAGCGCGAGCTCCCGCTAAATATAGCGTGGCCTGAAAACATAGTCTGCTAAAGTTCTCCAATAATTCGTGCTCCCTGCTAGAAAACTGAGACCTTCTAGAAGATGCCCACGCCTGGTACATCGTTTTCTTTTCCATCGATCCCAATTCGAGGCAGGTTTGAGCGTGATAAGCCGTCTTTTTTGAAGATGGAATGTTTTGTGAAGATGTAAGTTATCCTTACATATTTGAGTCACCCCTTCTCGCGCATGTGTTTTGAGCTCCTTGATCAGCCAAAAATATTTATGAAACGTTCTTTCAATGGGTGCGGGGATGCATCGCAGCTCTCAAGTATGCGTTTACTTTGCCACAGGCTAAACCAAAGACCTTCGACAGCTGAAATTCGGTGACTGCGCGGGCGCAGCCTTGCAGCTCCGTGAAACCTACACCCGAGGGGCTAGGCTGGGTGAGCGCCAAAAAATGGGGCAGATTACGCGATAGGAGCTGAAGCTACCCGTAAGTCACGAGGTCGCTGCTACCGCACCCATCGCCCGTCGCTGAGAATGGGGATTTTCTCGGCTTATCCTCTCAGAAGAAGCCGGCGCAAAAGGGCACCTTTCCCCTCGCCTCGCCGTGTTACAAGACAAGAAAGAAAGAGGGCGAGGAGGACTTTTCGCCAGGCAGAAGAATATTTCTGCTGGTCCCCCTTTAACAGATGTTTGTCAATAAGCATCACTTTAATTTCCAATGTTGTCCTAAGCCTGCATGCGTGTTTTATGTTCCCAACAAGGGGCACAAAAATTCTAAATATGAGGGAACTGCGCTTGAGGCTATGACAAAACTAAGGTAGAACACAAGGAAAGCATTCTGCTGGGGATGTGAGGTGTAGTAGCTGTGTTTCCCCAATAAACGCATTCCTTCGTTGAAAACTAAACGTTACAAAGGCTGCGCTCCGACGAATCGAAAATAGACAACGTCAGTTAGGGTACACTAACTTTCAGAACTAACAGCCATAGGTGAAGGGCACATTTTCTATATTTAGAATTTTTCTTATTTGTCGTTTATAATTTGACATAGCTGTAGAAGTTTCGGCGTTTATAAACCTTTCGCACATGCATTGTATTTTCAAAATAAAAATTTCTCAAATCTTTTTTTCCCACATTTCCCCCAACCTGTTTCTTTTGAAAGAACTAAGTGGTCACATGTGGTGCTCAATATATGGAAGTTAGTTAGGAAAATAAGAGCGATTGCATGAATCCTTTGAAAATTGCTACTTTTCCCATGGTTTGGAAAGAGTTAAAGAAGAACATAGGGGGGTCGTGAAAAAGTTGCTGGTGGCAAAAACTTATGACATTGCGCATGCCAAAATCCCTTACAGGGTAGAAAACAATATCGGGAGAAAAGAACAAAATCAAGCATTGTAAATTGGGAGTGTCAGAAAATAGTCCATCAGAATAAAGACTGATTCCCGTGGAGGGTTTCCCCTGATCATCATTTAGGCAAGATTGTAAAATCGTTTCAGTGCACTTTTCAGAAAAGTAAAGCTTAAAGACCGGTAATGTTTTCCTGGCAAGGCACCTACGCATGCCCAGTGGTTCATAAAAAAATGACGCAGACAATCTCAACATTTAAGAAAGATCTTCCTCATAATCTGGAATTCTGAGTTTTTCTTTGCAACCGTGTGATGCCATATTTGAGCGTTTTGCACAAAAACAATAATGATTTGTTGTGATGTCACGGGCCATCCAAAACGGTTTTTGAAGCAAAAACACGGAAGTTCAAAAGTCAACTTACATGTCGTCTGTCGACATCGCTGTGTAACCGATTGCCAGGGAGTGTTCCTTGCCCTCTGCCATGATTGCCTAGTCACACGGGTCAAGGACACAACTGGAGTCAATCAATCGGTTCGTCCATACACCATTTCTAAAGCAGGATGCTTCTAAAGATTATATTTCAAATGGAGAACATCATGAAATGTTGCCATGGAAACATGACGACACAGCCAGGTATCTGTATGAAAACCGCTTTGTCCCTTGCTAGGAACCCAACACCAGACCCCTCGCTCTGCAATCGGAATGTTCTACCCAACTGACAAAAAACGAAGGCACTCAAAACAAGTCACCTCGCACTTCTATGCACCATAGTGGTTAGGACTTCTGGCTCTCCTCCGGCAACCAGTTCTTGGAAGCAAGCAACGATGAGACAAAAACTGATCCGACGAATATCCCCGAAAACTGTTGAAATTAGACTAGCCTCTTAAATACTGCAATTATAATGTGATTTAGACCAGTGATTAAAAAGTCGATTGGAAATTTTCAGTTAGTTAACCAACTTATCATGACGATTATTCTCCCGTCTGATGTCAACCGAGCCCCATTAACACAGAGCAGAGGTGGCATTCGTGTAATTGTCACCCACCTCTTTATGTAAAAAATATGTTTGAATTAAAAACAAACACCTTGTATGTTTATAACATCAGACGTGCAAAAAACAAAGACGCATGGATCTTCGACTTCCTAGAAACATATGGATATGAGGGGTATCTGCTTCTTAATCAACTTTAATAAGGAAAAGGGATCTAACTGTTATATGAAGAACAACTTCACGGTAAACCTGTCAAGCCAGGTCGGCATTCAGTGAAGGTAAGCGTCACAACCGGTTAGCTCACTTACTTTGGTTCTTCCATTCGTTTTAAGAATTATGAGAAAAGGCACTATGGTGTAAGGCGTCCAGCAACCATTTCTCGCTTTCACGAGAGGGTTCAAAAGAGAAAGTGCGGCAAACGTGCCAGTCTGACACGTGTTTGAGCCAGCGTAACTGCGGCAATTTTCTTCTTTCTTTATTTAAGGGGGCACACCCCCCAGGAGGGTCAACTTTTGGACCCTTGGCTTAACATTAACGAAATTTACAGGGTAGGCTGGTGGTCATGCTAGAGGGTGCATAACAAAATTTCATGTCTGTAGGTTAAGCGGGAAGGAAATTAGGGCAGCTTTTATCAGCAACACGCCTACATTGTTTAGTTAATCTAAAAAAGGAGCCACCGGTCGCCATGGGACAGACCAAACGACCTTGAGAAAGCGGGTCAAGGTCGCAGGTAAGGGACGCAAAGGATACGACGACAGTTCCTTTCGGCACGTTGCTCATCCTGGCGCCGGGGGACGTCAGGCCGGGGCACATGATGTTGGCACCACTCAGCACAAACCGGATGGCGCCTTTGTCCACTTGCTGCCACGGACAGATGAAAGGGTCTGGGGGTGGCCAGGGAAGACGCAGACCACTTCTTTTATGCTCATTAAGAGGACACTGCAACCAAATTCTAGCACCTATTTTATTGTCTAAATGTTAACCACGTTCTGGCCACACCACGGAGACACTAATGATTTGCTCGAAAAGGCATCAAAAAGCTATTGAGAATTAATAAACCGGACGTCGTTACGTCACTCTTAACTTAAAAGCAGCACCGCTCCATGGAAGTATGGTGGCAAACTGCAAGCGCGCGAGCCCCATTAAAATGGATTTTCCTTCTCTCCCGGCCTATTCAGGTCCTCCGGGGAGCAAGGAGGGGCAACTAAAATGGCCAGGTTGTAACGCATTGACGACACCAAGTGCCGGATCTCACGACCACGTCAACACCCAAGCAGCTTTGCCCGCGCTGGGCCAGGTGACGTCACGTCTCCCAGAACGCATTGTGTTGTCCGAGGGCTGATGTTCTAGCGTTCGCTGGAACTGGTCCTTTAGAACGAAAACCATAGCCATCCATTAAAAATACAAGTGTGCGATTGACATTACCAGGTAGAGTTGATCATGTTTAACTTATCCCTGAACACGAGAAGTATTGATTCAGTATCCCTTTAAAACACCGCTTTTCATCTTGGCTACTTCTACTTGTCCCTGTCCGAAGTAACCATGCGCTCTCGCTATGTTTACCCGACTATGGGGTGACCAGAGATCCCGTTTTAGAGGTTCATTCCTGCTGCCCAGTCATTTTGTCCCAATAAAGCCAAATGTTCCGTTTTCCCGGAAACTTTCTCGCAAAACTTGCACCGAGCGAGAGGAAGAAAACAAAAGATGCTTGCACGTTACATTTTATGAGAATAAGCATACTACAAAAATGTTACCTCCCATAGAGTACAATTTCAAAATATTTTTTTGTGTGGTTCCATTTGACAATATGTTTTGTTTGCACAAACATGTGTACTGGGCACTTCTTTAGACTGGGTACTATATTTAGCATGCCTCGGTTTTGTAAAGTCGGTAAAAGAGCCGCTTGTGTACTCAACTACTCAATGGAAATCCCCGAAAGGGTGCGTGTTCTTGCAGCGAACTGAATAATGAGGAGTAGCAGAGCCTTCTCTTTCTGTGTTACTACCTCCCACTCTCCTCACACATGAAGTCCCGTTTTCCACTCTGAGGATTATAGTCCCTTTAGACCACTGGCCCAAAGGATTGTTTTGGTTCAGATGCCTCCTTCTGCGGGTATCTGGGCAGAAAGGGACGAGAAAACACTCACAAAGAAAAACAAATGCAAAACAAAATCACACAAAATAGTGAGACTTCATGCTGGCAGCATTTCAGTCTCAAAGACATTTTAAGCAAAGGAATAATACTGAAAAGCGCCTCCTCGGCACCGAAACTCCCCTACCCTATAAATATAATAGTCTTGTTGCGATATATCAACAGGATGCTGAACGGAGGCCGTAAAGTGGTTCCGCACGAGAAACTTGAAGATTCGGGGTTTCTTCCGAACGCTCTATGCTTCGCGATTTTCCAATGGGCACGGTGACGACAATTTACCGGACGAGTCAAGCGGATCGTTGGTTCCTCGAAGGGACCGCACTGCATAAATCGTTTTTTTAATGTGTTGAGCTAAAAGTGATTTCGAAGTGGACAGATGAAGTCTGAAATTAGTATGTAGGGATGTACAGTTTCCACCAATGTAAAAGACCCACTCAGAGCGCGTGGCCAAGGTGGCAGCTAGTCGGGGGGCTGCTCGAGTTTTGTCCGATTCCATTTTGCTCTGTGGGGGAGGGAAAATGCTTCCTCAGTGGGCGCCAATTCAGTTTGGTTGCATCATCGAATCATGCTGTTTAACACCTCAGTCTGTGGTACAGAAAAGGAAAAAGCTTTTAGTCAAAGGAACAGACACGAAAGGGGACATCGTTCTTTGTCTGCTACTCCGACAAAGTTTTTTTTTTCTTTTCTGCACTACAGACTTGGGTGTTAAACGACGTGATTAGCCACCACCAGCTCGCTTGCGCACTTACAGCCTTTTCGCAGCATTATCGAATTTCGCTACGCCTGGCCATGAAACACGACGTGCTCCCGCCTGCCATCTTCTCGGCTGCGCGCTCTGAGAGGGTCTTTTATACTGGTGGAGACAGCGCCTAAGGTACCCTTAACAAGAGCGACCGTTAACTGTATCTTAGGAACCTTTTTAAACTGGCTTCTGCAACCCTGCCACCTTCTCATTCATCCCCACGCACTTGCGACTGCAATGCACCTTCCACCCCCATAGCCGCAGAGCAGCACAAGTGCAAGAGCGCGATGTGGCTTATAACCACTCGATGTCACGAAGTGAGAATGTTACTAATGCAATTTCCTGCTTTGAGGGGGGAGGGGGGGGGAATTATTTTTTTGCAGGTTTTTGGCGGTACAATTAAAAGTGGGTGAACTCGCCTGCTGCATCAAAACCAGGAATTACTTAGCAAAGTATGTGCTGGGCTGGTTGGTGCACATTTAGGCACAAAATAAAATAGCACAAAACAAAAAGGCAAGAACGAGCAGGTACACAGGACAGGCACTACCATAGAACATTGAAGAGGGCAGACCGTAGAAAGAATGCAATCTAGTAAAGCAAGTTGCTGGACTAACGAAAATAATCCCTGGAGAAGGAGAAAAAGAGGGACAAAGGACAAACTAGTTAACATTTATTTTCCAATGGGCCCTTTTCAATGTTCTACGTTAGCACCTGTCCTGCCTACTCTCTTGTCCTTGACTCTTTGGTGCTACTTTATGTAGTACCTAAATAAGAAAGCAACATTTGGATGGAGTGACCTTCAAAGGTGCACTAAAGGGGCTTCTCATTTCCGTCTTTTTGTTAATTCCGAAAACAGACATGCCCGGAAAGGTCTCTGACTCACACTTGTGGAGCAGTCGTAGCGTGGGGAAGTACTGCCCTTCCCTCTGCCGGAAGAACAGCAGCTCTCCGTTGCCGTTCACCAGGATCTCAATGTGGTCGTGGCTGCATTGAGAGAAAGGGTGCGCCGTGGAACGTTTGTAGCAGGGTAAGTCGGTACGTGTCACGAGGGAAATAAAAAAGTGCAGAAAGGACACGGGGACAAGTGATGCGGCGGGTAACGGCTCGACGAAAGCATGTAAAGCTTTGGTCCGTTTTACGGTGTCTCATCCTTTAGCGTGACTGTATTTTAAAAGGCAACTCCGCTCAATTTAGAAAATTTCTGGATTTTGAGTGATTTCACATTAAAAAGCAGTAATAGCGGGCACTACGTCGATTCTTTCGCGATAAATGGGGCCTCTTTTGTGAGATCTTACTTTAAACGTGAGCACAAACCGAAACCGCACCTTTGGCTCTGAGAGGTCGTGCGCTACACGACAATGAAGAGGGATCGGGTGGGCCACCGGTAGGGCGGGAGTATGCAAGGTGCAAGTGCCGTTTGCACCGCATTCCTCACTATGTTTTGGCGCATACAGTGTCCGCAACGTCTGCACTTCTTTGGGAAAGGCGAGAAACAATAATTTCAGCCGGCGAGACGACGACAACAATTGGGACACACGAGACGGAGAGACGGCCAGACGGCTCCCAAGGCTGAGAAGCGTGCGGCACAGGAATGTTACACCAAACACGTGGACACCATCGAGCCAACGCTGAGAAGAGACGCCCTGGCGTCACCTGTTACTTGATAGGATGGATGCTTGAGCGAGTTGGTGAACCATATTCTACGGTGACAGTGCAGAGTCACCTGTTACACTTGCCCGAAGAAGTAAAACCAAACAAAAAGTAGCAATGCTGATGACGCTCAGCTCAATGTTGGCTATGCCCAGACCGTAGCCTCGAATACGCCCTTGATTGCACCTCAGTGCACCCGCTAGAGTCAGCCGATTTCGGCAACTCGGTGAATTCCAAAGTTTGCCGGACCGTTTAAGAAACTTTTAGAAAGAGCTAGGTCATAATATTTGATGCATGGTCTTCCTAGGTGGTACTAAAATGCTCTGCATTATATCTTAAAAAACATAAATGAAGCAGTCGCCCTTCAAAGTAAGGAAAAATGGCAGTCTATAGTCAGCACTGTGTCTGTACGGTATTCCTTCTTTTTTGCCGTGTTTTGTTTCTGCTTTCTTTTAATTTTCTCGCAACAAGTACACTTCGGGAAGTGTTGCACAACAGAACCACTCCACACAAACCACTTAGCATTTTACAAGCAAAAAGGGGAAAAAAAAAATGTGTGCTTTTGCTACTCAATTTTTATTTTATTTAATAAACAACAACTTAGATCAGGGACAGATTTACCAACCGGCAGAGAAGGCAGCTGCCCAGGGTGGTAGAATTCGAGGGGTGGCAATTTTCCGAGGGTGTCTATGCCATACTACATTTAACTACAACTTAGTAATGGCAAAGGCCACAGTCCCAACGAGCCAGTGAGCAAAGTCGGATACGAGACGCGCGGCAACCTATCGTCGGAGCGCGCTCCTCCTGCAGAGGGCTGTCACGTGTTCTGCTCAGTGGCTTTTCATTTCCCAAACACATATGGACCGTGGTTTTGTTCCGTGCAGCTTGATGCAGTAACGGTGGCCTATTCGTGGCTTGCACCGACGTCCCATCAGCAGCCACATTGTCCCCTGGGCACCACGCATCTTGCATCGCCGAATTTGTTTTTCTCCGCAAGATCAGGCAGGAATGGCAACAGGCATGGGGCAATGACGTCATTTACGTGCGCGCCACATATCTTTAAACGCGGTAAATGCCCCGGTGCACGCAGCCGTCTCCGGTTTGGACTGGACCACGGATTCGACTGGTTTCGTGATGCCGAAGCGCGGTCAAGAGCTTATGATATCGGTGGAAGCAATACCCAAACAAACGAGTGAAATATGAACGTCGTCATTCAGTGCTGTCACACGGAAACCGACCACAGTCGGCGACAGGGTTAAAGCGCAGGACAAACTCCTGCCCGCAAAGCCCACCGCTCTCTCCACGAATGCAAGAGGAGGGGCCGTTCAAAACCGTCTAGATGACAAGGCCATAGTGCTGACATTTTTGCGCCACCAGCGAAGGCCAACGCTGGACAGAGATTGGAAACGAGTGCTGCGTCAGTGCTCGGCTTCAAGTTGTGACCAGCGTTGGCCTTCTCTGATGACGACGTCTCTATCAGCACTAAGGCTTTGCTCTCTAGGTGTTGGGCCGGTACCCCCTTGCCTCCTCTCCAGAGGTTCGCTCTGCAAAAGTGGCAAGAGTGGAAGGCCTTGGGGGGGAAGCTCTCTTGCGCAGCCCTCACCACTTGACGATCCTTAGCGAGTCCTTCTTGGGCAGGATCTGGTTGATGTAGTTCTCGACCGTCGGGAACTGCTCCACGATCTTGTTCTTGATGGCCTTCTGCACCGACGACTTGAGCTGCGTGATGCCGGACACGTGCTCTTTCTCGTCGAATCTGCGTCAAATGAATGGAGTGAGTCCGTTCATCGAGGATAAAACACACCCCGCGTTGCCCAATGTCGCCGCTCAACGGGACGCAAGTGCAAACATTTAGGACGCGCTGAAAGCTTAGACGGCGCTGATTAAATTCGGACATATGTCGCCAATCAAGAGGGAAGCGTCAGTCAAGGAGCACAACTGCGTCGTCGGCGAGGCAACACATTTCAATCGGGAACTGGGTTTGACGCGGTCCCAGACCTGAACGTGTCGTGTACCCGGGATTAAACTGTACGTTAACGGTTGCGACTGAGGGCTTCTGCTATGAAATTACGCGAGAGACAAAAGAAAATGTATACTTTTTGAACATGTTGACGCCGGGCAGCAGGCAGCCGGTTTCTCCGAAATGTCCGAGATGCTCCGACGGCTTTCCGACCACGACCGTTTCCGACAGCCGACAGATCCGATTCAGAGGTCGTGTTCCAAAATTTACTCGATCTTACTCCAGGGTAAGGGTTTGGTACCTTTGCGTTCGAAAACCTACCCCCGCCTCTACCGTTGCGCAACCCACTGTGGCGCAGGTGGTGCAAGTGTGTTGTCACGTGACCCAACCCGCCGGAAAATCCAGTAGTATCCAGTCACCACTCGGCTCTATTTGGAATACAGCCAGAAATTTGGAACGCAGCCCATCATCCCACCGTTACTAGATCAACTCCAGCCACTCTGAGCCACTCCAGCCTACTCTGCAGCCTACTACAAAACAGATCAGTGGTTAAACCTTTGAATTAGGCAGTATCTTGCGTCACCTAGCTTAAAAACCTTTACTTTGTTTTTTTTTCTTTTGCTAAGATTTTTAATGGATCTTGTCTTTGGTTAAATCGGTTAAATCCAAGTTAAATCATGGAACCCACCATTCCAACATTTCACTTGCTTCACTTATGTCGCGTGAACAAGGCTACCTCCGCTGAGTAATCAGCAGTAGACCTGTGCGCCGGTCAAAAATCGCCGGCGGCGGCGCGCCGGTGTTTGTACCTCCGTAGGGAGGCTGTAGTGAGGGTGGGCGCAACTCAAAACCTGGAGAGCGTTTGCAATTTAATGGCGGCGCCTGAGGGAAAGGATTCGAGAAAGGATATGCGCCAGTGTTGCCTGCACGAGAGCAGGCGCCCGCTCTGTTGCAACTCTGTTGCTCCATGCGCCTTTCCTCCTCTCGCCTCCCATTGCAAGCAACGAGTGCCTTGGCGCAGCCTCTCTCGCTTCCTTCTCGCTCCGAGAATTGCAAACGTCGAGCGGAGAAAGCAAAGTTGCCAGACAAGCAGCAACGTCCAAGATGGCAGAATTTACCATTTTTCGCGTTAAAAAAATACTTAACCTATCGCAACAAAACTGGTGGCTATGGAAAAGTAATCATTTATACCTTGTGTAAATTATTCAAGCACCTTAATGGGCTTTTCTTTCCCGAGTTGGGAAAGAAAACGACCCTTTGCCCCATAGACTCCCAGCAAAATTTAGCAATTAAATGGCGTCCATGTCCCGCGATCGCCGATCTAGCAGTTGCACCCACCCTCACTTGAGCCTCCCTATACCTCCGGCGGCGGCGTGTTGACGGCGCGGGAATCAACGGATCGGCGGCGGCGTGGCGCGGAAGAGGGGGGGGGGGGGGGGGGGGGGGGTGTAAATTAGAGGGTGAGGGGGAGAGAGAAAGGAGTCGAAAACAACATACAAATACCATAAAAAGGAACACACTTTTTTATTTTATTTTTTTCTGGAGAGGTAAACATAGCCTTCGCTGGTGAAGAGTGCGTCCGTTAGAAGAATCAGGCACTTCGGCGTCTTGTTTATTCTCGTTTGTGAGAATATGTCGCCGGCTGGCAGCCGCGCCGCAAAATCCTCCGCAAGACGAGGACCGACGGCAACAGGTATTTTATCACCGCGTTCCGCCTCACCACGCGCTTGTCGCACGCCCCGTGCCTAACAAGTCGACCGAGCACGTCCTTCGATTTATAGAACTTGTACTCATTCGGTACGCCGCAAGCCGTCATCACCGACAACGACAGGGTCCCAACCTCTCGTTCGGCTTCGCGGTACTTCGCCGACAGGCATTCAGAGCGTCCCTAACAGTACCTTAGGCTCCCGAAGCTAACGGCTTTGTCGAACGCGCCAACGGAAAAATCCTTCCATGTCTGCGCAAAAGAACGTCAACGGCGACATCGACCATTGGAGCGATTATCTCGAGGCAACCAGCTTTTGAGTGAACCAGCAGCCGTACGCCAGACTCCAGAGATCACCGCTCGAACTCCTGTTCAACTTTGTCCCACGTCGACCAATGGAATTTTCCCCGCTTCCCGACGAGGTCGGCGACGTCCGCGTGAACTGCGACGCTGCAAACGCGAACCTCGCTTACCTCCACGGCATGAAGCGTTCCTACGATGCAAAACATCGACCAGCTCCATACAGCGTCAGGGACAGGGTATGGTACACGAACGGCCTTCCTACCTCGAAACTTGGCCACTTGGCCTGCTTTTCCACGGACACTTAAGTCATCACCAACGTGAACAATCAAACCTAGACCATTTCCAGGTTTACCCCACAAGGCACACCGGATTGCCGCAAAGCTGCCGCACGATAGCTCTTTTTTTTTTTTCACGAACAATCTGCAGCGATTGACGTCGATTTCAACCAACTCGCCTTGCACCGCAGCAGATCCTCCGATTACAAGCGCATCACGCCGACGCCGCCCTCCACGATGGCTAGACGCATAACAGAGGATCATGACAACATTAACAAAATGTGCGAGGGCGCAAGGATTTTGAGCTCGGGAGTGTAAGCAAATACGCTGGCGGCAAAGACCCGTAAGGAGAGCCTCCCCGACTCGACCGGATGGGAGCTCGACTTCGACCCCCGATGCTGGATCCCGGCGTGGAAACGAGAAAGAAGGACCCCTAGAAACACGATGTGACACGAACAAGCCAGGCGTGTGGATCAAAATAAAATACGTTTGAAAGAAGCCTGAAAACGGACGTGGATATAGCCCTCTTGTATCAAATTATTTCACAAAGTTTTCATTAAATCGTTTTGCGGTCTACCAAACCGTTCAGTCCGTTATAACACTTTAAAAACACTGGCGAGCTGACTTCCATAGTAACGGGAGACACGAAACGATAAAAATAACGCACAAGACAACAAGCCTCAAACACAGCTTTTATACCCGTTTTCACGTCAAGAACTCTGGTAAAAAGAGTCCGACTCCTTGCGAACTAATTTCCACCTTTATGTGGAGAACTAAGATATATGTAGCTGGATTCTACTATATATGTTATCAAGACTTACACGTCCCAGCGCCAAAATCATCGCTTTTTTCTTCGACAACCAAATCTCGTAAGACTTTGCGTCGCGTATACGAACATCTTTGTTTCATGTATGTGCTCTCCCCCTCTGTAATGCCTTCGGGCCCTGAGGGTAGTTTAATAAATAAGTAAATGCTCGAAACTTTCTCTTTTTCTTGAAAAAACGGGTATAGTTTATTTGAACAAGGAACGCTCTTATATATATACGTCAAGACCCTCATCACCAAAAAATAACTCTTTAAAAAAAATGGTATCACCATACACCCTTTTGTCCCATATAACGCACCCAAAAACTTTAGTTTGACGCACAGCGCACAGACGGCCATACATTTTACAAGGGGCTTGATAACGGAGCGACATAACTGATTAAATAGCTAAAGTACGTATCAAAGACCACAGAAGGAAAGCACTGAGGTTTTGCAGTAGGGCCAAGAAAACCTCGATTATCTTTTTGTAGTCAGTAACACGTACATTAGCTATGTTAATAAGTTGTACCACACGGCTATCAAGCCTCTCGTGAAAGGTAGTACCGACAGATCGAGGTCTGAAGTTTTCGGGTGTCTTATAGGTAGGGTGTGTACTTTCCGGTGTTTATTTGTGAGAAAAATCGGCGGATGTTTTTCGGTGTTTATCTATTTTCAAAACACCGGTGTATTTCGGTGGAACGTCTCACGACGAGGCTAAAATCGGTGATTATCGGTGAAAAAGAAAAGCGATTGATCACAGACAGAGAGTTCCAATTTTATTCACATAGTTCACATATTTCTTCTCTAGGAAGCCACTATTTCGCACACTTGGCTATTATAGTAGATGCAAACATACTTTCATGCTTGCATCTACACGCAAGGAACGTGCTGCCGTCATGGCAGCACATTCCTTGCGGTTCGCAACCCGCAATTATGAAAACGCACGCTCTTGTACGACACGGACGTTGGCATTGCCTTCCAGGAACCACAGCAACCTCTGAATACATGGCTTGCACCGACATCACTTGGCCAGACACAATGAGGAAAAGGCACGTGAGAGCCTACCCTCTACTGCGTTAATTTTTCCCCAAAAGGGGGCTATCGGAGACACAATGGGGGAAAGGCGTATGAGAGCTTAGCTTCCACTGCGTTCACTAGACGCTTTTGACCCCCAAGAAAGGAGGGCGGACTGACGCCACCTGAAAGCCATGTATAAACACTGGAAGAATGCAGGATCCACGAGATAACATGTTTGACGAAACTCTACGGGGAAAGGGTTTCGCTAGGTCGGAAACTAGCAACGGCCGATGTTTTTCGGTTTTAACCAGGGCGAACATGTCCAACCACCGGTGTTTTTCGGTTTTAACCGATTTTATATTTTCGTCACCGACGGATGTTTATCGGTGTTTTTCGGTTAAAACCGGAAAATGCACACCCTACTTATAGGGGACTAAAGGTGTAAGAATACACCCTTTTTTTTTAGAGTGTAGGTCACTGAAAGCCGGACACTCAGACAGATCCAAATGATTCATGGTCACACCAACCTGCCACCCAGGCGACCCCGCTTGATGAGTGACCAGCCACATGCGATAACAGGCAACTCCATCAGAACCCCTGATACACGCGTGACGAGATGTCCCTAGACTCCCTACAGCGTTCAATTCGCTTAGCGAGCGTCAATGAAGCGATCGTGTCGACAAAACGTGTGTCCGTGAAACGTGTGCCCATGAAAAGTTGTCTGCGATACTTAATTCCACGAAACGAGTTTCGACGAAATGAGAGGATCCCGTACACCACTCCTGCCTGAAAAGTTACATTTGGGTTCTTATGTTTTTTTTCTGGCGCCCCTGAAGACCACCAGAAAGGGGTCTTTTTGTGCTGAGCTTTGAAAACTAAATTTACACCGAACCTATTTGCCACTGATATAAAGTTATGAGAGATTCCATGGTAGTAAGGCACACACACACCATTCTTCACAACCGGTTTTTCCACAGGAGCCGGATTAAACCTTCAGCACCTTGAGCACAACTCTAACATTTACATCGTGGTGATGGTCCGCTTCCAGACGACGCATCTTTTGAAACTCAACTGCCTCACCAACCCAACACATACGGGATTCTTTACAGGCGTTATTCATCGCAGACGCACACCACTCTTAACTATTTTCAAGTGACAGCTGTCAGCTGCCAGCAGAGGTTTGGCTGATTCCTTGCCGTACCTCCAGCACAGGCCCTTTTCCGTGTGCAACAGCAGGTCTATAAGTACTTAATCCGACTGTTGCGATGGCAGGGTTGTGCAG